GAAATTAAAAAAAATGATAGATTTCAATGTATTATTATGAAATCTACTATGAAAAAAATCACTGAGGTTGTGGAAGATCCTCGGAATCGTCCAGACTAATAATTAGTTAATTTGTTTATAAGGACATAACTTGCAAACTATTCAACATACCGATTCCAGATTTCGTGTGAGTTATTAGACAGTGATAAGGAATGAGAGGATGGGATGCCAAAACGTTCTGGTAATAATAACGCAGTCTATAAATGTTTAAATCAAGTCATAAATAAACTTCTGTTTATAACTTTTGATCTAATCAATATTTTTAAATAAAAAAGTATTTTACTGTTTTCTCGTGGAAATGAACGGGAAAAGTTATAAGCGAAAAACGTGAATTTACGTAAAAATTATACAATTAACCACCCTGTAAACAATCTTCCCCCCATTTTTATGACTGTGGAAACTAATATGTTATTGTACATAATATTTAGCATCTATAGTGATATATTCAGCTTGCCGAAACAAAAAGTCGCGTCCAACTCTATATTTCCTGGACTATTCAAGTAAAACCTGGCGCGAGCAAACACAATACATGTCCGGTTGATAAAGAAATTAATACAGAGCTACAAAAAAGTTACTTTTGGCAACAGTCGGTTTAGTGTAAAAGCGACGATGTTGGGGCAAGCTATTGAATGGGTTTGTAGTTTTTCTAATCCAAGCAAATAAAAAACGAAAGAATATTTTTACCTAAAAATGGGAAATAGTTTTTCTTAAAAATAATTGGAGAGAGACATAGGAAATATAAGAGTGGCTCAAATTGGGTAAAAATTGATAGAAAAAAAAAATAACGTACTCGTAGGTGTCTGGAACTCTTTTTGGCTATCCAAACAAATATGTAAATCCAACATTATTGGTTTTCAATTAATAGGGTGACCTAGAACTGATGATTGGTTGCCATTACAGGAAAACGGAAAGAGTAAACAGGAAACCGCAAGCGGTGATATTTATAACATTATGATACAAGTATTGACTTTACTTGATTTGACTTGATAAATTTATCAATCTAATGGTTGTGATTTCATCGAAATTATTTTTCCCAATTTCATAAACAACTTTTCTCAACAACTTTTAATACATTTTTGGAGAAGTTCATAAGATTCGAATTAGCGGTAAAAGGTTTATAGAGACAATTGATTTATGTCAATAATGGATATGAACTAGTGTCTTTCTCTACACATATCATTTTATATCTTTTGAACGGAAAAATTGAGAAAAAAAGAAATTTTTAAATCAACTACTTCCGTTTTTTTTTCTCAGTTTCAGGTCACCCTGTACAGAGAATTTTTCAGTTTGTCCAAAGAAGTATAAAAAAAAAACGTGTAAACCTTTCATCTATGATTTTTTCCGTAAAATACAGTAGGTAACAATTTAATAGTCTCGGAGCAATGTTCTTCAACTATGTTATTTCTATGAAGCCCCTGTGTATTTTTATGGCACTGATTTTCTCTTTTATTACTTGAATGAATTATTACATACTCGAAACTCTCTGAATATCTAAATTTATAATAGTTTATTGTTTCTATTAACATTTTCAAATTATGATTAAGATATTTAAATATTTTCTTTTTTAGATCACGTTACATTCGTGCACGTACCGATATTTTTAAACATTGTTAATGTTATTTGAAAATATATCGCTGAAAATTTATACATTTTCATTCATAATTCTCATATTAATATTACTAAATTTAATTATTTTTAAAATTACTTCAAGTAATTAGGGTGTTGATACCTCGACGCATTATTATCCTATAACACCCGTGACGCCTTCAACGTTTGACGTTCTATTAGTTTGTTATTTAATCCGATTTCTTTTACGTATAGCAATATTTAAACTATATAATCTTAATAAATTTACTTGTAATTTCAGTTCAAACTGTTAAATTTAAAACAATTATGGTTTTCACAGGAAGTAATTTTTTAGAGACTTATTATATTGTTGGATAGTAATAAATATGGAAAATCTATAACAAACAATATACATGATGTTCCATTAAAACTAACAAATAACAGTGTGACGTTACTCCAAAATTATGAAATTAAGAGAAAAATGTATTCTACGGAAAAAATGTCCAGGAAAAATTTAAAGCTTTTTTTTACGTCTCTTGTAACAACGTAGGTATAAATGCCAATAATACTCGACCTATAGTAGTTAAATTTATTTTTAAATATTTACCTACGGTATAAAATTTGCCATCACGTTTCTGCAGTAAGTTTTTAAAAATGACACAAATCTCTGCATTGTTACAGGACTGAGTTGTTAGTTCCATGTTATGGTCGTTATTCTTATTTAATAATTACCTGCAGCTTAAAAAAATAATTAAGACTCATTTAAAAACACCGCGTAAATCACAGTAAGCGTTATGGAAGAATGACTCTTAAAGAAAACAAAGACAAATTATTAAAGAGCTGCAAATGTAACGTCTGCATTTGTTTTTGTTGTTATTAAATAACACATACATATTTCCTATAGGATTGTAAAGGTTGTTCTTTTCTAGCGGAGTCACCCCGTATATACAGTATATATCTATGATAATAATAATCGTTTCTGAAGGTAGGGCTGACTTATTTATAGTTTGCAGAGCTTCCGTATGAAAATTGTCTTGAAGGTATTCCGTTCTGTTGTTCAAGTCAAAATCACACACAGATGGTAACTGGCTATATCTGTCAAAAAATGTACATGGTGATGTATTAGAAATAACAAATCTCAGTGACCTTCCCCGAAAATATTAAATTAAGAAAAGAAATGTATTCTGTGAAAAAAAAAACACGCAGAAAAGATTGAAACATAATTTTGACATCTGTTGTAAAAACGAAATGATAGAAAGATAAGCCTCTACGTATCGAAGGTCAATCCAGTTAGCCAAAATTTTTTTATACCACAAAACTAAACCCAAAGACAGAACACAATTTATTAGTTTTTCCTCTCTGTATATCACTATTTAGCCTGTATCCTGTAATAGGCGAGCGGTTCACTCCTAAAAAGATGCTTCTAAATGAAGGTAACCGACTAAATTTTTAAAACAAAAACCTACAGCGTGAAACTTTTTTGTTTTATAGTGTATTTTTCTGATAATTTACATATTTTTTTATATTTTACGGCGTGGTCAGTCAGTTATAAACAAAAATGTTGTAAAAAAAATAATTGCCGAATGGCTTTGAAAACAGCTTTATAAAATAAAATGGACCAAAATAAACACTTTTTGTTCTTTGATAAAAATTCGAAAAATGCTTCGTTTCCCAGATATTTACAATTTAATGTGAAAAAAATGACGAAATCGACAACTTTCGGAATTTTTTTCTTAAAAACTACTGAATAGAGTTTAATTCTAAAAAAGCATAATAATCAGCAGATCTTCTACTTTAAGATAATTTTTTTGGTGTAGGTCAATTATTTTATAGAAGGTCTAAAGCGAGTAAAAAACAGTCTTTAAAGAAAATCATGATAAACAAATATTTTTGTTCATGTAGTGGAAAATGCTGTGCAGTGCGTGCTCAGATGAATGTCAGGATGTTCCATCCGAAATTGATGATGAAACGCTTATTTCAACTCAAGAACTTGTCGAAAATAACGAAAAACTTATTATTTAAAAATTAAATAAAAAATAAATTAATATACTCTTATTGCTCTTAATATTTTTGTAAAACAAAAATAAAATAATTATCCTGTACAATAAATTATCCAATAACTTTTTTATTTTTTATTTTTTGAGACCGCTAGGTCAATTATTATTATTAGGTTAATTTTACGATTTAAAAAGCTTATTTAGTTTAGTTTTGGTATAACTTTCAAAGTCAATTTTAGCCATTTATAAAACCAAAAATCGAATATTTAAATTTTACTAATTACGTGCAAAAATCTTACTCCGGCTACAAAACCAAACAAAATGATCTTTTGAACATTTGTACTGTTAATATATATATCGATTAAAAAAATCATAATAACGTTTATTGTAAATATAATATAATCCAAGATATTGTAAAAAGAAAATTTCAATTTGAAGTGTTATCATAATTTTCTTTAAAAGACTTTTTTTACTCGCTTTAGACCTTCAATAAAATGATTAACCCATACCAAAAAAATATATCTCTGTTTATTTTGGTCCATTTCACAATAAGAAACTGTCAAAGCCATTCGGCCAGTAATTTTTTTACAACTTTTTTGTTTATAACAATTGACTGACCACGCCGAAAAATATAAAAAAATATGTAAATTATCAGAAAAATACACTTAATAAAACACAAAAAAGTTTCATGCTGTAGGTTTTTGTTTTAAAAATTAAGTCGGTTCATGCCTTTTTTTAGGGGTGAACCGCTCCGCTCGCCTATAATACCAATCAAGATGGACTATCCTAGACTTGAACAGAATCTTACGTCAGAATTATTAAAGGTTTGAAAGATTTCTGCATTTATATATTTGGATAAATCATTTTCAAACTTTTTACCTCTTGAGATTTTTCGTTTAAAGATCCAGCAACGAGAATAATTCCCAAAATAATAAAAAACTTATTCAGTCGAGTTTTCATGTTTCGTTACTGACTTTTTATAATTTGCAAAAACTGTGGAAGAAAAAAACATCTTACAAATTCTCTCAAAGCAACTGATTATCTTAGTTTCCAAAATATTATCTAACCAATAGCTTACCAAGTAATGTTTGTAATATATTTAAATTGTCCTAATATTTACGCCGAAAAATAATATTAGAAGTATCTCCAACTGAAACCTAACTGTTTAATCGATAACAGGGTCATTCACAGAATAAACGTCATTATCTTATCATGTACCTGTATTATTAAAAAAAAAGGTACATTAGCATATTAATGTTACTTTACGTTTAATTAATTTTCTATGGTTACTTTGTTTTTAAAACAGAAAATAAGGTTGCATCTGTCATTTGTCCCCGAAATGGAAATTATAACGTAAAAGTTAATAATGAATAAACAATAATTTTTAATTTGTTACAGCCTACGTGGATGAAGAGTAAGGAGTATTGGGACAAAACGTTTGAGGACCGCTACGAACGTCAAAAAATGGACGCAGAAAGACCCCCTCTAAAGGTGAGTTTATTCAATGTTTTCAGACTGTTATATACGGGGTGATTCAGTCGTAATGTCATTAATTTTAAGGGAAGATAAGGAAAAATGAGTGGAATACGAATACGCTATTAAAAAAAAATTAAAATGCATAATTATGCTGAAAAAAAATATTTTCAAATCATTATTTAAACCAACCCCCTTTTCGGACCGCTCCTGACCTATAGAGGTTTATCGAGAGTGAATCTTGGCCTACCGTATTATTCGTTCACTAACCTAGCTTTTATTGTGTTTTTAATAGTGAACGATAAAAACACACTTATCTCTTACCTAGACACATGAATAAATAAGATATTTTTTACATTTTAAATATTAACAAGTATTATTTATTTGTTAATTATTGCCCTTCTAGATTTGTTTAAATCTATAAGGATAATAATTATTTTCGAATGTAAGGTTATTGCAATTTAGTCACTATATTTACGTGGTTAAAATTAATGACATTATGACTGAATCACCCTGTATATGCAGTGGTTGCGTGGCATTGTAAATGAAAGTAAAATGAGCGTAATAATTATACAGACTATGTAAATACTATTATATTTTAAAAAACCGGAACAATAGGCAATAATTTACACAAAAATACCTATTAAAATGTAGAAGGTTAGACAAAAATAAATCAATGCCATGCTGTTGACGATCCTGTCTTCCTTCCTCAACGATCACAAGGAACAATTGATACCATTCTACCTTAATTTTAATTATTTTGCCCTTTGGTATTTAAAAATATAAACATTACAAATATTTACTGCGCACCCGCACCAATGTCTTACGGGTTTGCCAAGTCATGTGTAAAAAAAATTATTTAGAATAAATAAGTATCCATTGTGGTGAATTCTAATTGAAAAAATAATAACTGATTTCAAGAGCAAATTAAAATTAAATTATACAGTAATCTGTAAACCCGAATGAACCATTACTTTCGGTAATTTTTCAGTTGTAAAGTTTAAGTAAAAGACCAAAGAAATATTAAAAAATGTATTGTAAAGTAATTTAAAAAAATAATTTCAGCAAGTTAAGTATCGTAAAGTTTAAAAAGTAACATTACTTAAAAAACAAATCTATCTGTTGCTGCTGTTGTTGATGTTGTTGTTGTTGTTGTTGTTGTTGTTGTTGTTGTTGTTGTTGTTGTTGTTGCTGTTTTAAATTATCCAAAAAAATAAATTTAATAAATAAACCAATTATTGAAACCTGACTTACTTAAACAGTTAGTTACTATAAAATAAATTTGGTAATGATAAGATTGTCAAAATCTTCCCATCTTCATGTACATAAATAATAACACTTCACTGGTAGGTATTCTCAGTAAAGATATGATATAACCTCTAAACTGCAGCACATTAGAACACTCAACATATTAAATTTGAAGTGAGAGATAATGAATTTTAAATAAAATCAAACAGCCGACTCGAAAATCTTATAATAATAATAATAACAAGTCTATAAGTAAATAACACGGTAAATAACGGTAGTATTGCAGAAAATCAGCATAGTCAAGGAGAGGAGGAAGCAATTAATATTCCTTGTAATATTCTTATGGATATTTAAAAAAAATGACGTATCATTTGGAAAAATGCTAATTTATGTAAAATTAGAGCTGCAGTTTCCTGTATAAATCCGGCAGCACTGCATGTATCCCACATAAAATAGACAACTTACGTTACGCGTAAATGTAATTGTTTAACTATTAATCATATATTCTATACAAGTTGTTTGCAACTAACCCAAAAATACAGGGCGATTCAGTCATAATGTCATTAATTTTACCCACATATTCGGAAGGCCTAATAAAGACAAACAATTTTTTTCTCCTCGACTTTTTATAAAATAAGCAGGTTATCCCTTAACTCCCGTTAATTCGGTGCCCTACTTCACAACAGGGAAGGCACCGGCGGACCATAGAGCGTTTGAACCTTGAAGCGAAACAGCTGATTTCCCCAGTTGTCTTCAATTTTGCAATTAGTTTCAAAATCAAATTGCAGCGGATCCCAACTTTATTAACAAAGTGCTATGTAGGGATGAGTGTTTTTTGCCGCACTGTCATTTTTAATAGTAATAAGTCGCACAATACTAACTGAATAATTATGTAATTGAATATAATACTAAAAACTCATATTCACTTATAAAACATAGTGAAAACTGTTTATTCGTTGTCTTTCACTACGGACTAAATGCGCATTAAAAGCTAGACTAATGACCGAATATTACGGTAGGTTAAGATAGGGGTTTAAATAATGATTTGAACTTTTTTTTTCAGCATAAGTATCACTTTAACATGTTTTAATAGCGTGTTCGTATTCTACCCATTTTCCCTATCTCCCCTTAATGACATTATAACTGAATCACCCTGTATATTGTAATAGAAATTAAACAAAAATGATAAGAATTATTTTTGTTTGCGACACAGTTAGATATTTGTTTATCCAAATATACACTTTTCAAGAGAATCTAATGAAATAAATAGCAAAGTTCCTCGAATACGATCTGTTTTTAGGACACTGACCTATTCCTACATGTTAAAAATAATTTTATCAGAAGAATTAGCAGAAAATATTTTTTCGTAGTATAAAATTTTCCGCTGCGGTTTCACTTCAGCAAATACAGTTGTTACAGAAATTGGCATAATGCTTGATAAATTATTATACGCTTAATGCGTTCTTTATAGCAATTTTCTCGGGAAAAATTACGTAGATTAGCCGCAAAATGAAAGTCTCAAGTATATACGCCTAATCTACCTAATCAGTCTTGGTTTAATAGAGACTCCACCGTTTTTGTATTGCCAAGGAGTTCATTTAGAAAGCAAATCGATCATTTCGTTTTTAAAGACTAACCCACTTACCTCTTTCCGTGAATAGGCAATTATTTTTTTAAATTAAGTTCCTAAAATAAATCAAAACCGTTAGATTTTCGTGCGTTGAACTCGCGTGCTTGGGCGTCGTTGAAAATATCTGGGATTATTTTCCCTTTACGGGAGTCGACTATATCGTAAGATATTTCAATTACTATGCGTGAAGCGAAGTGACGATTGCAATCATAAATCTTAATTTCCTTTTCTTAATACGCATAAATTCACAGCTGAAATATATCTGTCAACGGATATAACGGTTTCAAACCAGGAAATAAAATAAATATTGTGATACTTTTTAAATTTTACTATTCCTATTTATAATACTTTGTATTTTAGAAATTGCTACGGATTACAGAAGTGAATTGTATATAAATTTTTGATTAAATTGTAAAGGCGGTAATAATCTCATATGAATTTGAAAAAACATTAATATAATTAGTAAAACTGGTGAAGGAAAGATTAACTACCCTACGCTTTTGCCTTTTATAATTTATTCTCTAAGTAAGAACATGTTCCTATGTAAGTAGCACCTCGGGGAGAGGATTTATGGAAATAATTAAATTCCCCTTAAATTAATTCGCAAATCAATTTTACGAAAAAGGCCTTGAGATTCTATAAAAATAATTATCGCATCAAAAAGTATACCTAATGGAAATAATAATTTAATTAAATTCAAGGCAAAAATGTATTACATACGAACGAATATAATATTTTTTAATAGAAACTTAAAGTAAAGGTTTTTTAATATTGCGCAGACAAGGAAAAACATTTATAATTTGAAAAAGTTTTTAGACTACTAGCGGAAAAATTGCTGAAATCTTAGGCATCTTAGAGAAATAACTCTTTTGATTTGTTTAATTTTTTTTTTTCACGGATGAGCAAAGAAAAAACTGAAAGTGTATTTAATCAATGTTTTCAGTGAACTGTGAAGATGCACACAAAAATTTTATACGTGGTTTGATACAAAGATAAACGAAACAGTTCAAATAAACAAAAGTAGTTTGATGAATACGATAAACACCAAGTGATAGATTATCTAGCAGCACATTTGGTGTACATGGCTGCAAATATAAGTAATGTGGAAAATTGAACGTGTAACCCCCTCCCCCCTCCTCATTTATTTTAACGTTTCTGCATATAAAAACCTGGTAGAGTTGTTTCAAAATCTTATGAGCTTTGACCTTGATATGCGCAGAAACAATTCCGACCGTCGCCTAAATTATTCTACGTCCTAAAAACATTACATCCATTATTCACAGTCTATCTCGAGCTCTCGTAGGGTAAACAAGCCTTTGCTCTGATTAGAAATATCATAATAAAATGCTCTATTCTTTATTATTTTAATTTAAGCAATAAAAATATATATATAACGAACGTTCGCCAGTTGACTTTATTGATGCCGAGCGCCTTAGTTCATTTCTGGTTGTAATGAGGCGCGTGGTCTAATTCTGAGTCAATGTTTTCACAACGTGCTTAGAAGAATTATGTGGATACGCCATCGCGCATTTCGCGGCTCATGAGATTTTGATACTACTCTAAGAACGAAAGCTTCAGTAAACTTTCTCGCAATTTGAATTAAATATATAAGTAGACAATTGTTTGTTGCATTTCCAAGATATAAACCAAACTTTTTTTATGAAATATATACGTTGTATATTTATCATTCTTTGGATTTTTCGTTTTTGTCTTCTGATCTTATAGTGACTTTTCGTTTTAATTATTTTTCAACGTTTGCTTTTTTTCGGTGTGAGATTTTTGTTAGGAAAAATTATTTTCATATAAATAACCCTCGACTGATAACTGATGACTTTTAGTGTAAGCGTTTATTTCATAAATTTCTATTTTTTTTTTTGTAATAGGTGACCAAATACCCAATAAATAAAGAAAAACGAAAACTATCCATTGTCCAAAAATAAGGTGAATTTGTTTAAAAAATAAAAAATCTTTATTTATGCTTCCAAATCAATTTCGTCATCCTCGGATTCGTGATCAATGATCCTGAACACCCCCGTATACCAAATTTGGCGCGAATTTGTTATTTTTTGAAAATTTGGTCGTCCATCTTGGATCTGAATTCTTGAATTTTGCAAAACTGATCTCGGATCCGTGATCAGTG